ATTCAAATCATATTCTCAATAACAAAAAAAGTTTTCTTACCTATTGTGAATTTATATTAATTATATGATAAAGTCTTATACCAATTAAAATATCATAGAGTTCAATCATAAAACAATAAATTTATGTGAGTAATTTCATAAAAACTTATAAAATATTTTATAAATAGTATTATCAACCATTATATATAAATCTATGATTGATAAATATCACTGATGTCATCGATTTATTTTTATAGAAATCTATATATACTCATCAAATCTTACACTTTTGAGATATTAACAGTAAATATATTATTATTATTTCATAACATGTATACATTTTCATTTTATGTAATTTCCTCTTTTAACATTGAAAAATTTAGGTAGAAGATTTCTTTTTTATTTGTAATATTTTATAACGATGTTTACACAATAAATATGTTTGTAGATTTGTTTTTTTATATGTTTGTATAAACTTTAACATTGAGATTTTCATTCATATTTTTTTCTTAATTAAAATTTCTATTTCCTCTCTACTTTTTTGTATTTTTTTGTATTGTTTATAGTCTCTCTATATATAATCTTTGATAATTATTTTGTTCGTTTTCTATTTATAGTTTTACTTTTTTTTTTAATTAATTTTAAGTTTTAACACATGCATCATCTGATCAATATTGAACATATGTCACGATCTGGTGAGTTATAATTTTGTTTACGTGTCAAACTCTCGTGATAATATTTTCTTACTTGATTTTTGTTCTCTATTTTCTTTATGGTTTATACTCACTCTATTTTGTTTCTTAATTTATTTTTGTAGTTAGTTTAAACTATTTGATTTTCTTTAGTCTACCTAATGGGGACAATTAGAAATGTTCTTTTTCTCATATTTAATTTAAAAAATAAGAATTTTTTTCTTTTTATTATTTGGTTAGTTATTTAAAAATTATTTTGTTCATTTTTCAATTTTTTAGATTTTTTTAGTCTAGTTAGTGGAGACTATTAGAATTTTTTTTTTTCATAGTTAAAGTTAAAAATAATTTTTTTTACTATTTGGTTAGTTATTTGAAAATTATTTTGTTGGTTTTCCATTTTTGTTTTTATATTTTTTCATTAATTTTAAGTGAGCTTATGTCATCATCT